ACTATTTACTATTCAAATTATAACTACCCTAATTTCAAAATATATCTGCTCTGCAAATAAATACTAACGTTTCAATTCCACATCGTCCCACACTCTCTATTCCTAATCTCAAACTTATCTTCTCATAATTAATTCCAGATTACTTTAAATTCAGCTAAACTTTTCTTTGTCTTTGATTCGAGCTGTTTCTAATTTGTTCCCACTCAATTCCACAATCACATCTAGGCTACTTTGCACACACGTACTTTCCACGTTGTGCCAACACCATTCGTAAAAAATAAACTCTTTGTTCATTAGTTCGCATAGTTCTCATCATTCATTAGTCGCACGTTTCTAAGCACACAAATAAAAACCTGACTCACATTTTTCGTTTACCAAGCTCAAAGCGCACGAAGAAAGCAACAAAGCGCAAACATTTAGGAGTAAGAAAAAATCTAAAACCCAAACAAAAGGAAAGCGAAGAAACCGCAACACAATACAATAAAATAAATTACAAGAGAAACATAAACAAACGTTAACCCAGTTATAATTAATGTCATGTCGAATGAAATTTATTTAAAACTATGCTAGACTCAAAATAATTTTAATTATGAAAAATAGTTTCTTAAACTCAAGTAATATTTTTAAGAATTTATTTTCATTTTTAGTTCGAGCAACACTTGTTCAACGATCTGTCAAAAGAAAGCCACGTTGATTGACTGCCTCGACAGATCCCGCGCAGCCCACCTCAGAAGTCTGTTCGCAGTGGTAGAAACTAAATACAAGTTGCCAAAGACGCCCACCAGTTGACCGCATTCGACAGACAGGGACGGAGAATGAGACACACACACAGGTGCTGAGGGAGAGTAAGCGAGTGGGCTTCATAATGGGTCACATCTCTACCTGGTGAAAATTCCAAAAGCCAGCGCAAAATATTGTCTGTTAAATGAGCGACACTTATTTATGTAGCTTTTCATTTATCTTTTTCCACTTTTCGTGTTTTTTTTTTTTCTTCTTTTCATTTTTCCCGCCGCGCAGCTTTTCACACTCGCCTGTTGACACATGCTTGATAAATTTGTTTTTAGCTTCTTGATGAGGGGCAGCTGCAGGCCTTAGGGGGCTCTAGAGAAGACCGATACTTGGCCATATGTCAAATGGATTTGTTGCCCATTCTTGGGGAAGCGTGTGACTAATAATGAGTGGAAAGATGAAAGAAAGCAGCAACAGAAAACCTAAATCTCATAATCCTAAGAATAATATAAGCTATACAAATATTATTAAATCATCGACCAACTGGGATTTTATAACTGTGATTTGGAACTCTGGAAACTAATTCAAACTGTATTTCGATAATCAATAATATTCGCATATTAGATTAACTTATTTATCAACTTCCTCATATTAAATATTTTTGTATTTTATAAACAAACTTATCTTTAGATTTTTTCTGCAGCAAACAGTTTCTCTCTGCCCTTTTGCCTCTTGATATCCTTGGCTATTCCAAAAGTTTATAGTTCTTTTGCTCCACTGCCAAGTCCAGATTGGGCTATACATTTAATTTTCTGTTGCGTGAGCGCCGCCGTTTTGACTGACATTTTCAATTTGCACTAACTTCAACTCCAGGTCAACATGCAGCAAAACAGTGCAACGAAACAGGCGGCTCGAAAAGGGCTAACAGCAGAAAAACAATTTATATAAAACGCAGTGGCCACAAAAAAAAAAAGGAATAGACAAAAAGCCCAAGTGACGCCTTTCGTAAGGTATTAAGGTCAAACGCGTTAAACCAAATCCGAAACAACAACAAAGCGACAATACAGGTAATAAAAACAGGCAAGAGGCAGCAGATTTGCAGCAGCATCAGCCTCAGCATCAGAATCAGCAGCAACCGCAAAAAGCACAAATCCATGAAGAGTAGCAAAAAAAAATTCCAAACCTCAAGCCAAGCTGAGAACGTTGGCAAGTAACGGTAAAAAAAGAGAGTCCAAGAATTAGGTCAGGCAAAGTAAAATGTGCAACGCAAATAATTGGCCAAGAGCGAGCGAAAGAGTGAGAGAGGCAGAGTGCTAGACTGAGAGAGATAGAGGAAATGAGAGACGTTGGCTGAAATGAAATGAAAGTTAAGAACAAACAGCACGGCAGGCACAGCAGAACGCCAACTCTTTACCGTTATGTTGACCGCCACAGTTAACGGTGTTGCTGTACAACGTTAACCCCCCCTGCCCATCACTTGCTCATCATGAGCCATCACAACCGGTTACATTTCTCAACAAGCAGCTTCTTCAGCATTTAGCATTCAAGCATTGACACGCAATTCGCAACAACAAGAGCCAAAATTCTATCTCTGAAGTTTCCTCTCTGGGTTCTGATGGAACTCTATTGAACAAAGAAAAATAAATAAATAAATAAAAAACTGGTTTTCAATCAAATCCAGATCTGAGGCTTTCTAAATGAACAAGTGTTTACAAGCAAACCTGTGCAAATACGGACTGAAGCGCCCACATTATTCAAGGAGATCAATTTATGCAATCATTTTATCAATTGGAATTTGAAATTAAACATTCGGCGCAATGAGCTGTCAATCCCTCAGCTGTTATTAGCCACGTTAATAGCATTCAATTTATAATTAAGCCGCATGGTTTTTGCAATGCAAACAGCAAAACAGGAAATTGCTCAATCAAAAACTTAACTTTATGAAGAAGAAAAAATTAATTCAAAATGCTAAATCAAAATATAACAAAACCATAAACCGAACTTGAACGCTTCCGTTTGATTGCTGAAAACAAGTGTTTTAAATATTTCATTGCAGTTTGTTCAGCTGAGCTTCTTCTTCTTCTTCTTCTTTTTGTGGCTGGTATTTTTCACTTTTGATTTTTTGTTTGGCTTTGCTTTGTTTTGATCGCAACTTTAATTCAATCGTTTGATTAGCACACGAGCAGCAAAATTTAGAAGAAATAAAATCGTTGCGCTACTAATTATAATGTTAAATAACATCTGCGAGTGGAGTAACCAAAGTTGAAAGACGCAAACAACATTTGCAAACCAGAATTACTTAACGTATTTTGCAACACTTAAGACATCAATTATATTTCATCAATTATATTTCAATTACCTATTCAATTTCAATTTCAATTTGATTCAATTGCTTTTTTGATTGTCGTTCAATTGATTTCTTCAATTCAATAACAGTTTCAATTAACATTTGAATTCTTCTTCTTCAATAAATTTAATTCCATGCAATTATGACAGCTTTCTATCGATATTGAATAGTTTGCAAATACTTTCAAAATTTTAAGTCATAATACTGATTGACCACTTAAAGGCTTATACTTTTCAACACCTTTTCAATTCAAATGAATGCTATGAAAGTGATTTCTTTTTTCTTTCGTCTCAATTATAAACATCGAACTCACTTTCAATTTCAATTCTCAATTTCTATATTTTGTACGGGATGAATCATTCAATTGAATTGCATTTTATCAATCTCATCATTTGTTGTACTTTTTACGCTTTCCATATCTTTGTATACTCCACATTTATATTTAACCTTTGCATTTAATTCAATTTCTTTCAATCTTCTTTCAATTTTATTCAACTTCTTAGACTACCCCTTTGCAAATATTCCCGATTCACTTTTGTCTATTTCTTTTGCTTGTGCTACTTTAGTTTTGGTTTATGATCTTGACATTTTCTTTACTGGCAGAACTTGCTTTGCAGACAGACAGACAGATTGAAACTTAGATTYGGAACTTGAATTGGGGACTAGATCCAATCTGACTAGACGAGTCTCTAGCTAATTAATTTGCTATATCATTTTTTATGCAAACTTTATTTTTTAGTGTTTTGCTTTTATTAAGTTCTATTGAATTAAACCCAAAGCGAAATTCTAGAATGTATAAACATATCACAAATTCGCTGTGCAAATCGTTTGACATTTTAATTTAATTATTCCATTCTGTCAGAATGCCGAATATACTTTTCTTTTTTATTTTGATAAGTTTTGCACTGACACGCTTCTCGTATTGTTTTATTTTAATATATATATTATATATATTTTGGTATGCGAAAAGCAACAAAAATTCTTAGACTAAGGCTGTCAGACCTGTTTAAAAAATAACCAAAATTGTGAATATATATGTAATTAAATTAGTAAACTCGGTTTAATGCCCTAAAATAATTCTTTATGCACTTTTTAAGAGCACTTTGAAAACATTTTTGAGCCAGTTATGCAAATTTATGTTAGGGTTAGGTGAAACATATATAATTGCCATCGAAATATATATAAAACATATATATGAAATTGTTGTGTTACTCATAGCAAATACGTAATCGCCGTCTAGTCTAATAAATTCTTCAGTTTACTGGCGCTCTTAAAAATAAACGCAATCCAAAAGAGTCAACCAACAAACTGATGACTAACTCGGACAAATTAAAATAGAATACTATACATATTAATAAATACAACATCATATATATAAAGACTTGATTTGTTGATATCGGCAATCAAGAAGAGTCACTAATTAATGCCCAATACAATTTATGATCAAATTCACTCAGCTATCCAAATTGTCTAGCTCACCTGCTTGCCAGCTACTTGGCCCATATTTTGTTTGTTTCCCTGTTTTGGCTGGTTTTTTATTATTTTTAATGTTTTATTTTCCTAGTGTATTTAATGGACTGCCAGCTGAAATAAAGTGTTATCCAAGCAAAATGGTTTTCTAATTGCTAATCTGAGTTGGGGCCCCACTCTGACCTAATGACGCAAACGGATGACCATCTAGAGATTTGTTTAGTGCTCGAAATACCCGATACGATTTTCATTATTATATAACACAGAATTTGGGGTTAGTAAATAAAGCATGGAGCCATGTGCGAAAATTCATGCACACGATTTACCAACAACAAAGACCTCCATTAACTGCGTGTGTTTAGATAAAATGAGTGTGGAGGAATCTAAATATACCGTTGTGTGTAAACAAATATCGTTGGCTTTTGTTTACGATCTGCTCAAATAGTTTACGTACATTGTCACCTACCTGCAAAGAGAACGAGAGAGAGAGAGAGAGAGGGAGAGAAAAAAGAATTAGTAATATGAATTTATATAATCAAGATACTATCAATAAAATTCAGAATATTTTATGATTAGTTTTCAGAAAACAGAAAGGCCAAAGACTTTTCAATTCTATTCAAAAAGAGTTATTTAAGAAAAGATAGGTTTTACAATACAATTTTGTTAATAGAGATTAGCTTTTCTTGTGAATCTGTGTAACACTTTATCAAAGATTTTGGGGGTAAAGCTGGCTTTTGACACGCATTCGACTAGCAGTCTTATTAAATTGAAAGCCATTGCTGACAGCTCCACTATGATAGACACTCTCTGTGAGGCAAACAAAGGCTATGGGGCTATGGCTATGGCTATGGCTTTTGCTTCAGCTTTGGCTTTGGCTTTCGGCGCGAGCCTGGCAAACTAGTTAAGCCACAGGGGACGACCGAAAAATCCGCATCAAAAGCGCTGTTCATAAATCACGAGGCCTCTTTTCAAAAACAAAGGCCAACTGCGACACAGAAACCAAAACAGGGCATCAAGCGGACGGAGGGGCGCTTTGGCTTTTAGGGGGCCATGGGGCGTTGTTATATCATGCAGCGGGTCAACTGCTGTTCGCGTCGCGTAGCCTCATAAATATTGACGCGATTCGTGCGCCGAAAATTGTCACTCGCGGTTTTTTGCCGTTGTTGGGTTATTAAAAAATTCATGGCTTGTAAAATGCAGAAAATCCAGGAATATCAAATATTTAAAATGTCTATAAAAGACAAGAAAGAGAGACAAAGCCAGGCCAATTGGCTGGCGAGGCAAAGCGGCTTAAACACACACACACATACAAACACACGCACAGATTTCAGGCCCCTGGCCTTTTGACCACAAAGTGCGACTAGGGTGGTGGGATTTATTTTTTATTTTTTGGGGTTTTAAGGGTTTTCGTACTGTTCCGCTTTCATTGCCTGCGTTTGACTGGCGGCCACTCGAAAAATATCATTTACATGTACAGGACACATCCTTGGCGCCTCTGGGTCCGCTCCGCTCCCAGCTTCAAATACACACGAGAAGGACATTCACACACCTCCCGCAGCCCTAAAATATAAAGGGAACACTTTTCCCAGCTCGATTCGGTTGCTCTCTCTCTCTCTCTCTTTTTTTTTTTTTTTTTTTTTTTTTTGTTATGTGTCGCATTTTCAGAGTTAGTTTTTTTCATCTTTTTCGTATTCATTTATTTATGCCTCGGCTGCTGTCGTTGACGCTGACCATGCGATGCCCCAAGCGCCGGCCACGCCCACTTACACCCCACACTAAATGCTACCCTTTGAACCCTTTGATTTCTGGCATTTCACTTTTGCTGAATTTAACGCAAAATTAAATTAAATTTCATTTTCATGCTGCATCGCCGTCTGACAATGCAAGTAGCAGCAACATCGAATTTACTTTAACTTCCAACAATTTTTATGGAAATTTTCACATATTTTGTGATACGCGAGTTTTTTCCGTTCAATATTGAAGAAATTATTTTATTTTTAACTTCAAAGTGCAGTGGTTCACATGTTTTTAAAGGGATTTCGATTTGTAATTAGTGTTTATTTTGGCGCAGCCCCTGCGCAAATATATACTAACAGACCATAGCAACAACAACAACAACAGCAAGAGTTTATAGCACATCTGTGAATTTCTCTTTTTTATTCTTTGTTGTTTTTCTTTTCTGTTTTTGGTTTTGTTTATGTTTTAATTACGTTTATGCGGTTGATTTATGTTGATGCAAAAGCAGCAAAAGCAAGGGAACTGCTGGCTGCCCATAAGTTGCCAGCTGTTTGTATTACTCTGTGGGTGGGTGGGTGACTCTATCTCAGCTAATGGGCAGGGCTAAGCACTTGGCCTTGAACAGAACGCACAACAAGCAGCAAAGCTAATGTCGAGGTAGAAAGAGGGTTGATTGGAATTTAACTTGGGCTTAGGGGATGCTTTTTATAGATTATGGAACTATGGCAATCGAAAGCTTGTCTAGCTGCATGAAAAAAAAAATTAATAATAAAATCAATACGATTACTTTTAATATAAGACTCTTAAATAAGGCTCTATTCTTTCGCTGCTCTCCTGGATATATGGAAAATGGATTTTTCAGAACTGATTCAAATCTGTCCGAACCAAGCTAATCATATTCTATGCTTAATCATATTCTATTAGTTGGTTCTTTATCTTTTATTATATTAAGCAATATTAATTTACCACACTTCTAGAAGTCGGGGTTCTTACTTAACTGCCGTTATTTAATTCTCATTGTCTTGAGTGCATTATGCAGGTTTCTTAAGTACTCTCGACTAGTTCTAACATTTGACTTTCTTTGTAATATTTTCCACTATTTACCTTTGGCCCGCAGCATGCATATGTACTTGCTGTCTCTCGGCAGACATATGAGCCTTTCGCCTTCCGTTGGCATGATAAATGACTGGCATACATTCTATATGACCGAAACAGTCATTCATCTATTCGAGGCAGCTATCTAACCCCAGAACCTATCTGACCATCTATCTATCTAACTTTAGTTCAGTTCCTCTCTCTCTCTCATATATATTTGTACTTTGTTTTGTTCTGTTGGCCAACAATATGGCAAATATGGCAACAGAATCTATTCAATACGTAGTCACTCTTTTTTCTTTCCTTCTCTCTCACTCTGTCGCTCTCCCTTTGTCTCTGTCCAGTTGGGAGCTTCTATCTAATATGACCATCGAAACTTTTGTTGCCATTGTTGTTATTGTCGTTGTTGTTATTGTTGTTGTTGTTGTTGTTATTGCAACTTGTCAGTTTCGGCGCAAAGACCATCAATTTACTTAGCTTTATTATGTGCACACGCAGCGGGAAGTATTCCCCATGAATTTAGGGAGGTGTGGGGCAAGGGCTGACTCTATTCTCTATTTGGCGATTTGGCCCTTTTGTTTACGCTTTGCACGCAATGCATAAAAGCGCAAAAAAAAAACGACCAGAAAAAGAGAGAGAGAGGGATATATATCAGAAAATCGTTTCCCTATGCAAGTGTCGTAGTGGCATGCAGCTACATACCCTTTCCTTCTCGTGCAGCACAAAAACAATGGCTAGGCGGCAGGAGGAGCAGCAGCAGCAGCAGCGACAACAAAATGTATCTTGACACTTCATCGTTAGCCAAAAAGTAGCGCAACGTAGCTAAACAAAGACAAGCAAAGCACAGGACAAGGCGTGGCAGGCACAACGTGACACGAGGCGGGCTGGGTCTCGCGGGGGGGGCCAGTAGGGGCCACAGGGAGGCAAGTGCCTGCATTCTCGCGCTTGGCGTTAAATTCCCCTGACAGCTATAAAATTGCATTTTAGAGTAGCGCAAAAAAAAAGGCCACAAAATAAAAGACAGCGCTAGCAAAAAAATAAAAATAAAATACATACAAATACATTGTAGCATAGCTACGTATATAATAAATAGTTATTGCCAATACAACAACAACAACAACGAATACACACATACAAAATTGATATTCCCAATGTGTGGCACAGCAAAAGTGCGACATCATTATATAAATTGTGTGTGTGTGGGTGTGTGTGTGGGTGTGGAAGGAAACATGGAACGCGCAGCATCATATGTTTTGTATCGAACAGATACGTGTGCCGAGAGAGAGCGCCGAGTGTTGGCTTGAAGTGATTTCACACACATGTTTTTTTTTCTGCCACACCCCCTCTCTCGTGTGCGTGTGTGTGTGAACGCAAACATGACCACAGGAAATGTTTCACAGCTGTGCAGCCGGCAAACGCCAAAGCAAAGGCGCAAAAGTATCTCAGCGTTCAACTATTTGTCAAACTTGAAGGCAGTGCAGGGGGTGCTTTGGAGCGAGGGGTGCCGCTTAGGGTTGTCCAGGCATTTAAGTAAACAAACAGAAAATGGCACGTGACAAATGCCAGATAGTTGCACACATACACAGATGTATGTATGTGCGAGTGTATCTTAGACTGCGTTTTAGCTAGTTTCTGCTTGAAGCACAGGCAAAAGTAATTTCCTGAATTCCCTCCTCTGTCGCACAAAAACTCTCTCTCTCTCACACACACACACACTCTCTCTCTCTCTCTCACTCTTCATATTATCTGTCTTCTTTTGTTGATGACATGCGGCGTCTGTCACACATGTTGACAGGCAACGCCCCGCAGTTTCGAGGCTCGCCTGTGTGCCAGCTGATAGCGAGCGCGGCACGTGTTGCAGCCACGTGAATGACTCGAGGGCAATGCGGCAACAGGATGGCAACCCTCGCCACACACATTTTCTTTTTCATTTTGCCAGTTTCTGTTCTTTTTTTTTCACTTATGTAGAGATTACACGCTTGTCAGGCGCATCCAAAAGCCGCTCATTTGCCATGCATATCAAGTTGATGGGCAAAGGGGTTAACACAGCTCGTAGCTAGAGGAGCAGGAGGAGAAGGAGGTCGGATTATTTCAGTTGTGATATAGCAATATCGCTCTGCGACAAACTCAATACTAACTTTGCTGTAAATAATTCCTAAACATTTTGGAATGCTTAAAAATTTAAATGAAACTCGGCGAGTTCATGAATTCATGTCTTAAGTAGCTTGTGACACTTGGCTGTCAGAAAAGTATCTCGCAGCTAGATAAGCTGACAGAGACACGCAGTAAGATATCTCACAGAAAGAAAAGTGTGTCAGTCAGGTGAAATTGTCATAATTATTATATGAGCCGAGTTAACTGACTCGCAATGCCATGAAATTCAAATGCTCATTGCATTAGCCATGGCCAACTTTCACCCACATTCAGCATTTGGTAATGCGTGTCTCGTCGTCTCTCCTCCCCCTCATGCACAACTCTGGCAATGCATTTTCTATTTTCCGTCTCTTTCTCTTGTGCTACAGAGAGTTAGCCATACACATTCCCATCTCCCATTCCCATTGTGATTATTCCCATTCCTCATTATTATTATTCTTAACACATCAGACTAGACTGTTAACCCAGTTGCAGTTCTAA